AGCTGGGCAGTGAACCCCTTGGGAACAGAAACCATTCTGTAGTTACATGCTGTGTATGACTAGATGGTGCATGTCCAAATCTCTCAATTGTAAAAAGAAAAGAGGTCTCTTTAAACATGAGGGTGATCCCAACAAGCAAACAAAAATAAAATACAATAAAAAGGCAGGCAGGTTTGGGGAGAATTTGTCTCAGGACCAACCAACATTATCACCCTTTATTCAAACCTTTTTTCCCCAGAGTTGGCAGGGAATGAATGGGACATGTTTAAGGTATTCTAAGAACTAGAACAAGTAGAATTATTTTTCTAATTTTATAATTAAAATGGAGCTTGGACATATGAAGAAGCTGAAGTCCAAGAGCCTCAGTGACCTGCTCAAAGTCATACAGCTAGGTGTGGTTAGAGTCTGAGTGAGACAGAGCCTCTGATAATCTTTAGAGCTTTGGATGTTAAAGCTTCCCAGAGACATTTATTTTCCAGAAGTATTTTTGAACTTAGCAGTTAACCCTAAAGATTGTCTAACCTCTCCTTATTCTCCAGACTGAAATATTTAGAGAATGAATCTGGTTATCAGGGGTTGCAGAACTTTCAACAGCAAACCATTTTTTAAACAACTTCTCTCCTGGGTGATAATGATTTCATTAATGCCTTTCATCATTCACACCATGATCACGTTATGCTTTAACAAAGAACGCTTAAAAGAATATTTATTGTGGAATTTTCATCTTTTTGTGTGCATGCGGATGCTGGATTCCTGGCTAACCCATGGTTCAAGCATTCCCTCAGTCTGCTCTGCATTGGCCCTCCAGATTCACAAGACCATCTGTGTCTCAGAGAAAGCCCTAAGAACTCTCACAATGGTCAGAAAAAAAGAAAAAAAAGAAAAAGAAAAACAGTAGGAGTATATCAACCACATCTAGGACTGGGAAAGGTGCCCAATGTGGTATCCTTCAGAGTTTTCTAGGAGGTATAAGCATGCTTCCTCACAACCAAGCTATTCTTTTTTTTATTCTTGTCAAAGACAAGATCATTCATTCATTCATTCATTCATTCAACAAACATTTCAGGAGTTCCTGAGTTATGAACAGAGGCTTACTCAAAGAGTGTGAAATGATTTTCACACTAAAAACTTAATCCCAAATGCACTGCAGACATTTGCTACATAGAGGAGCCTCACATAAATCTTGGAGAAAATCAGGGAGCTCTGCTGGAATATCCCTCTGCTATTTTCTCAGACACCAACTGGATGTCAGGCTGCAGTGCAGTGTCAACATTTCGGCTCACTGCAACCTCTACCTCCCAGGTTAAAGTGATTCTCATGCCTCAGCCTCCCAAGTAGCTGGGATGACAGGGTCCTGCCACCACGCCTGGCTAATTTTTGTGTTTTGAGTAGAGAGAGGGTTTTGGCATATTGGACAGGCTGGTTTTCAACTCCCGGCTTGACTGACTTTTTAATGCCTAAAGAAGAATTGAATGTAATGGCATATGCTATTTATTATCTAACTGCAAAGGTCAGAAGAAGAAGTGTGCCACCAAATAGCACATGAAGGTTTCCACAGTTACACTGGCAAAGATGCCTTGACTCTTGCTCGCCTAGGTAACACCCCTCATCCCTTCCTAGTAATACTGAGTGTATTTGAATGTGCTTAGGATGCATATGCTGTGCAAACAGGCATATGGAAGAGAAGGCATCTGTGGTCGTGGGACGTAATGAGGCTTGAGCTGGCCATAGAAATTCAACGTTAAACACGGGTAACCAGTATGTAGGGTCTTACAAGGCTTCAGATTTAGAAAAGCCTGTGTCAGTCTGAACATCCCGTGTCCTTGGTATTATAAATCTGGCTCAGTCACTCTTTGAATGATTCTATCCAGAAATCCTAAGAAATCAGGGAACATGAACTCCCAAAGAGAGACTTCTAGTATAAACATTTGCTAAGTACCTAGTATGTGCCTTGCCCTATGCTAGGCACCAAAATGCTTGTTTTGTGGTTCTGATGTGTGTTGATCACAGTTATCACAGGCATCAGAGACACATGGTTGTGTCTGTGCTGTAGGTTCTGGTATTAGTTTAAAACAGGATTAGTGTATTTCATACTGAAATCAATCAGCAAGTATCTCCCATCCTATCATGTGTCTGTGCTGTAGGTTCTGGTATTAGTTTAAAATGGGATTAGTGTATTTCATACTGAAATCAATCAGCAAGTATCTCCCATCCCATCTCTAGTGAGGGACCTGGCATTGTGTTTGGGAGGAGAGGGAAGAGGATGAACAGTTAATAAAAGAAAGTACATGATTTGTGGAGTTTTCTGCCTGCCCAGAGTTTTCCAGGAACCAACAGTATGTGGGAATAGATAAACAAATTTTATGAATAACTAAAGATCAGAAGGACCTCTATCCATAAAACAGGATTCCACTCAGAGTGAATTGTTTTAATGCTCTGGAGCTTCTGACAGTCAGTTCTGCCAAGAAAGTGAGGACTTGGTGTAAGAAAAGAAGCATGTATAAAGAAGACCTTCCTGGTCAGTTGCGGTGGCCCACGCCTATAATCTCAACACTTTGGGAGGCCAAGGTGGGTGGATAATTTGAGGTCAGGAGTTTGAGTCCAGCCTGACCAACATAGTGAAACCCTGTCTCTACTAAAAATGCACAAAAAAAGAAAAAAAGAAAAAAAATTAGCCAGGAGTGGTGTGGCACATGCTTGTAATCTCAGACACTCAGGAGGCTGAGGCAGGAGAATTGCTTGAACTCGGGAGATGGAGCTTGCAGTGACCTGAGATCATGCCACTGCACTCCAGCCTGGATGACAGGGTGAGACTCCATCTCAGAAAAGAAAAAAAGAAGATGACCAGCCCATAATATCTGAGCATGCTATAAGATGGAAATCAAAAAAGGATTCATCCATGGGGCTACTAGAAACAAGACCATGGGGTTCTGGAGAAATGAGGTGACAAATACATGTTTAATGCATGTCTTTTTTTTTTTTTTTTTTTTTTTTTGAGATGGTATCTTGCTCAGTCTCCCATGCTAGAATGCAGTGGGGTTCAATCTCGACTCACCACAACCTCTGCCTCCCAGGTTCAAGCAATTCTACTGCCTCAGCTTTCTGAAGCTGGGATTGCAGGCACCTGCCACCATACCTGGCTAATTTTTGTATTTTTAGTAGAGATGGAGTTTCACCATGTTGGCCAGGCTGGTCTGAAACTCCTGACCTTAGGTGATCTGCCTGCCTCGGCCTCCCAAAGTGCTTGGATTACAGGCATGAGCCACTGCACCCAGCCGAATGAATGTCCTTTACCAGGCTATAATAGAAGTCATCACAGGCATCCTTAGGCCCATTTTACAGATTAGAAGACAGATCTTTAAAAGGGGTTATGTGTTGCCCAAAAATATACAGATAGTAGTAGAGCTAGGCTTTGAACTCCCATCTTTTTGGCTCTTTCTAGCTCCCCAGGGAATACACTCAGAGAAGAAACAGGTTAAGTGGAAAACCTGGCTTTAAATTCTCTCCTCTGAGACAGGGAGAAAAAACAGAACTCACAGGACAGTGAGAAGGAAAGGAAAGGAACTCTCCCCACTGTATTAACAATGACCGGCAAAGTAAATAACAATTAAGGTCATTAGAAAACCAAATTCAGAGCAAGCACTTGAAACAGGATTTGGTTTTCCTGGATGTGGGGTTGCAGTGGTTTTCATGAACGGCTGTCAGCCCTGGCTTCACACTAGAAGCAGCCACAGAGTCCTTTAAAAATGCCCAGGTCTGATTCTTATCCTCAACCAGTTCAATTAAAAACTCTAGGGTGGGCATCAGGGTGTTTTACCTGCTCTCCAGGTGATTCTAGTAATTGTCATCCACATGTCAGAACCATCTACTGAGGACACCCTGAGGTTGCCACAGCCAATCAGGAGTCAGGAACCGCTTTCTGTGGCTGCTGCTTCTATCCAATAGAACCCTTTTATGAGCAACTGTTCAAGAGCCTTAGTCACTGTTAGGGTTACTTTCACACCCCCTCATGTTTAAATTGAAGAATGAACTGAAGGAACCAGGCAATGTTGGGAGCAGTGGCTGTGGAGGAATAAAAACAGGGTTCAAGTCTCATCTCTCTCACCCACTGCTCCTTGACTTGGGCAAGTTATATTAGCCTCTTAGAGTCTCAGTTTTCCAATCTGGCAATTGGAATAATCATTGTGACTTTGCCTTTGGATCACTATGAAAAAACAAGGGTTTAATTCAATGTCCTGCACTTGATAAGAACTCAGTTAGTAGTAGCTCCAGGCTTCCTACCCTAGTAAAGATTTAAATCCCGGAGAGAAGTTGCCTGGGATAGCAATGTGCATTGTTTACCAACTTCTTAGAAATGGTATGGACTGCGTAGGTGAAGGGTGTTACCCACTCAAGGGTAAGGCATTTCTGAGATGGAAAGACCTAGATTCTATGTCAAGATTCCCTGAGGATCAACGAGGGTAGATGGAGATGATAAAGGGGTTAAAATGTCAGTGAGAGTAAATGAGCAACCAGGTCCTTCTCCCCAGAAAATAGCCCTCACCCAGCCACCCTGCCTCACACAGCAATATGGGACTTGCTCTATGTCAGAGAAAGCAGCTGAGGGACTCTGGTCCTTAGAAAGCTGGGTCCCAGGAAGAGAGACCCAGAAGATTAGATAGATAGACAGACAGACAGACAGATAGGTAGGTAGATAAATGATAATAGATAGATAATAGGTAGATATATGATTGATGATAGATGGATAGGTAGTAGGTAGATCTAAGATTGATGGTAGATAACAGATTGATAGATAACTGGATAGGCAGATAAATGGAAGGAAGGAGAGATGGATGACAGATTGATAGTAAATTGGTAGGTAGGTAGAATTATCCTATCATCTATCTATCCATCCCCCTATTCACTTATACTATACAGCAATAGTATAAGAAGCTTCTACAAGAAGCTACAAAGGACAGGAAAGAGGAAAAAGAAAAAAAGATCCATCAGGAGACCCTTACCGACTGCCTTTAAGGAGGCATACTTGTTGAGCTCTTTCCCTGGCGGCTGCTGTTCGTAGGGATTGGAGATCTGGCCCAGGTTCGGGTACGAATGGGGATGGCCCATCTGCTGGAGCAAAGGAGAGGTGGGCACTGCGTTGTTCATCTGGGTGGTGTCTGGAAGTGAAGAGACAGAAGGAGAAGGTCACAGACAGGGCATAACTGTCTACCTTCCCTCCCATCACCATATCCCTGGAGACCAACACTCTCCCCACCCTTTAGGGATGCAAGTCACAAAACAGTAGAAGGTTCACAGATACATAGGACACAAGTGAGTTCATAATCTTAACTGGAGAGCAAATGAGGACAGGTGGGTGTTTTTCTGACATCATCTCAAAGGATATGCTCAAAACATGTTCAATTAACATGTGAAGGTCCTATGAGTAGAGGGGTTATTTTGTTATTGAAATAGTATTTTTATAAAAAGATGCGCAACCTCAGTAATGATCAAAGAAATACAAGTCAGAACAAGGAGAAGCCATTCTTTTGCCAAGAGACTGGCAGACTCCTAAAGCTGCTGGTGGACGTGCAATTTGCTATATTTGCAGAAAGAAATCTAACACTGACTACTGAAATGTTAAGTGCATGAAGTGCATGTATATGCTGACTGAACAATACCACCTCTAGCAACTGAGCCTACAGAAATAAAAGCATCAGAATGTAAGGATATTCGTTCAGAGATGTTTTTACACCATTATTTGTAAAATGACACACACACACACACACACACACACACACACACAGAGACACAGAAACAATCTGAACTCCTATCAATATGGGAATTCTTTTTTTTTTTTTTTTTTTTTTCCTGAGATGGAGTCTTGCTCTGTCACCCAGGCTGTAGTGCAGTGGTGTGATCTTGGCTCACTGCAGCCTCCACCCCCTGGGTTCAAGTGATTCTTCTGCCTCAGCCTGCCATTTAGCTGGGACTACAGGTGTGTACCACCACACCTGGCTAATTTTTGTATTTTTAGTTGAGATGGAATTTCAGCATATTGGCCAGGGTGGTCTTGAACTCCTGACCTCATGATCTACCCGCCTCGGCCTCCCAAAGTGCTGGGATTACAGGTGTGAGCCACAGTGCCTGGCTGGGAGTTCTTAAATGATTTATTACAATACATATGATGTACATATGAACACATATGACAATGTCATTCAGGTGCTGAAAATGAATGAAAAATTGAATAGTTTCTTATGGTTTATATTGCTAAAGGGAGAAAAGCAAGCTTTAAAGGAAAGCAAATAGTATAGCATTTTTTGTTAAGTAAAACACTATGGGTATATTTTTATAAGCTACTGTATAGGTTTGCACAAGACAGAAACATGTAAAGAAACTAATTATTGGCTACTTGAGGGCAAATTAGATTCAAGAAGGTTTTTCTGATACGAGGTTTTTCTGAGCTGAAATCTGCAGGAAGGAGAGTTGTTAATACTGCATTGTGGTGGAAGGTGGAAGGTATGAGGGAGGGTATTTGAGGCAGAGGAAACAGCATGAGCAAAGGCCCTGAAGCTGGGTGTAACCCGACATGTTTTGCAACAGAAGGAATTGCCCGCTGAGCTCTCATCATGCACAGCTAGAGAATACAGTGTGAGGAAAGTGGAATAAGGTGGGGCTGGGGAGGCTAGTGGGACTCAGTGAACACTGGGAAGGATCCCGATATCTTCATCCTTAGAGCAATGGGATGGATAGATCGGAGGCGAGAACCAAACAGGAGATTCCATTTCTATTTGGTTGTCGCCTCCCATCTATCCATTCCATCACTGTGAGATAATGATGGCTCAGTTTCAGGTGGAAAGTACGGGTTCCCTCTGGCTTCATAAAGCATATGTGTTGATCCAAGTATGCACTGCAGTGGATGCTGGCCATACCTTAAAGAATCAAGCATGTGTACCCATTTTCCAGTTGCTGCAAATGTTGGCTGCTAATAGCTCACAGCGGCCTTCAATACCCAGAGAACTGCCCTTGGCTGATGGAGCCACTGCCAGGGGTTAATATGCTTCATGCACCTCCTCAGGTGGTCAGCAACCAATGTCCTGCTGACACTGAAGTACAAAGGCCAGCCCCTTGCCTCAATATGGGGCTAATTTTGTGAAACCATGGATGCTCCAGAGTTCAGATGGATTGGGTCAAGTTTAGAATACAGATCAGCAAACTTTTTCTGTCAAGGGCCAGAGAGTAAGTATCTTAGGCTTTGTAGGCTGGCCATCAGTCTCTGTTTTAACTACTCCCCTCTGCCATGGTAGCATGAATGAAGCCCTAGATGGGAGACAGGTGGCCCTGTGTATCCACAGGTTCTATACGCTTGGATTCAGCCAACTGTGGATTAGAAAATACCCAGAAAAAAAATTAAAAATAGAATTTTGATGACTGAAGATGGCTGAATAAGAACAGTTCTGGAGGGCAGTTCCCAGCAAGAACAGAGGGAAACAGCATTTCCAAAAGAATTTTTACTGCCCACAGACCAGAATATTGCTGGGTGGGAAAGTACCATAAGTCTCCAGCACAGCTGTCTCAACTGGCACAGCAGGTCTCCATACAAAAACTCACACACATCAGGGTGGCCATTTCAACTGGTGCCTGGAACACCTGGGAGACAGAGTTGCCCATTCAACTCAAAGAAACGGGACTGAAACAGGGAACCAGGTGATCTGGCTCAGCAGGTCCCACTCACACAAAGACCAGCAATCTGCAACACTCAGGACTGACAGTTTCACAGTAAGCACAGCAGGACCCAGGACGGTCCACCTCTGTGGGAGGAAGGGTGTCTGCCATTACTGAGGCAGTCCACCACTACTGAGGCAGTCTGCCATTACCGAGGCCATCCACCTTTACAGAGACAGTCTACCATTTCTGAGGGAGACTGCCATTACGCACGCATTTCTAACTATACCTCTATAAACAAAATCTCAAGGAAGTTCACACAGCAGCTGGGCAGACCTCAAAGCACCTCAGCAATCCCTCTGCTGGCAGACTGTGACTAGGCTACCTCCTCACTGGGCAGGGCACCTCTGAAAAAAGGCAGCAGCACATGAGGAACTTAAAAATGAAGGCCCACCATCCCAGGACAGAGCACCTGGGGAAAAAAGGGGGTCATGAGTTACGCTGTAGAAGACTTATACCTGCCCAGCAGCTCTGAATGGAACAATGGAGCTCACAGCTCAGCACTTGATCTCCTATAAAGGACAGACTATCTCCTCAGGCAACTCCCCAATCCCTGTATATCCAGTCACCTCATAAAGGAGAGCTCAGGCTGACATCTGGTGGGTATCCTTCACGGACAAAGATAAAAGAAGAAGAAATTGGCAGCAATCCTTACTGTTTTGCAGCCACTGCAGGTGATCCCCAGGCAAGCAGGGTCTGGAAGGGACCTCCGGCAGTCCTACAGAAAAGGGGCCTGTTAGAAGGAAAACTAAAAAACAGAAATAACTTTATCATCCACAAAAAGGGCATCCACTCAGAGACCTCATCTGAAAGCCACCAACTACAAAGACCACAGGTAGATGAATCCACAAAGATGGGAAGAAACCAGAGCAAAAAGGATGGAAACACCCAAAACCAGAACACCTCTCCTCCTCCAAGGGATCACAACTCCTCACCATCAAGGGAACAAGGCTGGATAGAGAATGAGTCTGATGAATTGACAAAAGGTGAGTATAACAAACTTCTCTGAGCTAAAAGAACATGTGGTAACCCAATGCAAACAAACTAAGAAACTTGCAAAAAGGTTTGAGGAAATGCTAATGAGAATAAACAGCTTGGAGAAGAATATAAATGAACTGATGGAGGGGAAAAACACAACATGAGAACTTTGCAAAGCATACACAATTTCAATAGCTGAATCAACCAAGCAGAAGAAAGGATATCAGAGATTGGAGAACAACTCAATGAAATAAAACGACAAAGCAAGATTAGAGAAAAAAGAGTGAAAAGAAATGAACAAAGCCTCCAAGAAATATGGGATTATGTGAAAAGACCTAATCTACATTTGAGAGGTGTACCTGAATGTGATGGAAAGAATGAATCCTAGCTGGAAAACATTCTTCAGGATATTATCCAGGAGAACTTCCCAACCTAGCAAGGCAGGCCAATATTCAAGTCTAGGAAATACAGAGAACACCACAAAGATAATCCTCAAGAAGAGCAACACCAAGGCATATAATTGTCAGATTCACCAGGGTTGAAATGAAGGAAAAAATGCTAAAGGCAGCCAGAAAGAAAGGTCAGGTTACCCACGAAGGGAAGCCCATTGGACTCAGAGTGGATCTCTCCACAGAAACCGTATCAGCCAGAAGGGAGTGGGTGCCAATATCCAACATCCTTAAAGAAAAGAAAAGAACTTTCAACCCAGAATTTCATATCCAGCCAAACTAAGCTTCATAAGCAAAGGAGAAAGAAAATGCTTTGTGAATAGGCAATTGCTGAGAGATTTCGTTACTACCAGGCCTGCCTTACAAGACCTCCTAAAAGAAGCACTAAACATAGAAAGGAACAACCAGTACCAGCCACTCCCAAAAAGTACCAAATGGTAAAGAGCATCAACACAATAAAGAAACTGTATCAACTAAAGGGCACAACAACCAGCTAGCATCAAAATGGCAGGATCAAATTCACACATAACAATATTAACCTTAAATGTAAATGGGCTAAATGTCCCAGTAAAAAGACACAGACTGGCAAATTGGACAAAAAGTCAAAAACCATTGGTGTGCTGTAATCCAGGAAACCTATCTCACATGCAAGGACACACACAGGCTCAAAATAAAGGGATGAAGGAAGATTTACCAAGCAAATGGAGAGGGGAAAAAAAAAAAAAAGCAGGAGTTGCAATCCTAATCTCTGATAAAATAGACTTTAAACCGACGAAGATCAAAAGAGACAAAGAAGGGCAGTACATAACAGTAAAAGGATCAATGCAACAAGAAGAGCTAATGATCCTAAATATATATGCACCCAATACAGGAGCATCCAGATATGTAAAGCAAGTTCTTAATGACTGACAAAGAGACTTAGACTTCTACGCAATAATAATGGGAGACTTTAACACTCCACTGTCAATATTAGACAGACCAATGAGACAG